AGTGAGTGAGTGAGTGAGTAAGTGAGTGAGTGTGTCAGTGAGTGAGTGAGTGAATGAGTGAGTCAGAGAATGAGTAAGTAAGTGAGTGAGTGAGTGTGTGTGTAAGTCTGGGTAGGACGACAGAGGTCCCTGTCGTGTCATTGTTACGTACGTGTGCAACATTCATGTAGTGAAATTGACATGGTCGCGACGTCAGTGTCAATAGCCGTTAAGATCTGGAACCAATTGTTTCTTACCATGTGTATGTACAATCAATTGGGCATTGTTCACTGTAGCACATTATAAAAACAATGTATCCACGACTCCAGTCTAAATTCTAAAAAAATTCATCTTTCTCACAAGATCTACAAAGAGTGGACTTCTTCTGATAAAGTAATCCAAGTGACCTTCTGGTAGCCAGACAATCATTGCGGGCGTAAAAAACGACAAGTAGCGGTAAACGTTTTTAAATACTACATTTTGGATTAACAAGCTGGTGGCAAGAAGATGGTGGTGTGTGGTTGAAAATAAACCATTACAATTTCCAAACAAACGTGTAAAAATGTCAATATAATGTTGAATACCCGTTTTATCACTAATTTGTTCGCAAATCTTCTAGAAATAACCGACAACGTGTTCAAATCTGTTTCGGTACTTGCATCTTTTGTTCTTTGATGTAAAACTTTGAAAAGTAACAATTATTAAAAAAGAATTCTAAGCATTTTCTTCTTTTCCATATCATTTCCTTTTATTTAATTTTAAGGTGTTGGGCTTTAAAGTGATTTTTTTCAATGAGTGCAAGTAAAACTTACGATTTGCGTATAATTTGGGGGAAAATTCAGCATGCATTTGTACAGTGCCATTTTCAATAATCGGCATCCAAACTAGTTGAGGACTCACATTATTGTTTTGATGCCACTTTTTTTACTGAGCGGCTTCAATCATTTCTGGTCTGAGATTATGGGATCTGCGTTCATACAGCTTTTGTCAAGGACTCTTCTTCTTCTACTTCTGAGGCGGGCCCCCAAGGACTCTACGTGAGTCGACAAACAACTTGCCAGGAGTGGAACGTGTTTTTTTTCGCTGTCTGAAAACCTAAAGTGTCGTTATGTCGGAAGAGGAGCAACAGTCTCAAGCTGGTGACGCAAGTAAGGATGTAAAATCTGTTTAATATATAAAATTGGACAACAATTTTGGTGCAGCAGTTTAAGAGAAAAAATAAAGAATTTGAATCATTTTATTTGCTTTTAGTGCCCCGTATCGAATTGCTGCCTAGCATTTACGTATGTTTGTTCCTTGTATTTCTTGATGTTTTTTTTAAATTCTGAAATGATTCTTGCTCAGAACAAATTGTTTGACGATTAGGCCAAGAGAAACACCGTATCTTACTGTATGAATATTTTTCTTTATTTCTCTCAGGTGCCACACCCACGCGGCAGCCCGAGCCTTATTGGCGATCACGTGCGGACACCGCTGCAAAAATACCCAACCCTATGTACGCTTCAAATGCAGGTAAATCGTCTTCAGAGTTTCTTATTTCCGTATCTTTTTGCTAGTCATAATTTTCCGCAGATGACTACATAAATTTTCTTTACTTGTGTCAGGCACCACACCGCAGCCTCAGTCACTGCGATCACGTGCGGACGACGCTGCCAAAATACCGAATCCAATGTACGCCTCAAATGCAGGTAAATTAATTACAGTCTTTGTTCATGTTTGCATCTTCTACCTTGTATTAAATGCCTCAAATTACTCGCGGATGGCTGCATTTATTTTTTTTTCTATTCTATAGGCGCCACACGTATGCGGCAGCCCCTATCATATTGGCGATCACTTGCGAACGCCGCTGCGAAAATGTTCAACCCTATGTACGCCTTTATTAGTTCAGGTAAATCGTTTATACATGTATTCCCTATATATTTGTTGTTCATTTTGTATGTTCAAGGCCCAATATTTTCACAAATGACTTTTTTTTATATCTTTGTTGCTCCTTGAAGGAGGTGTACCTCCTGCAAAAGTATGGTGGCAAGACGGTTTTTCATGTTCGCAGCCAAAACACAGGGTTCTCTTTGTTTAATCGGCATGTGATTTTATACGTCGTCTGCAGGCATGCCAGTGTAACCATCATTTGCAAAGGACTGGAAGATATCGGAATAATCAACGTTAATTGAATTACTATGGGTTGAATCTGAAATTAAATAGAGAATGATTTTTTTTTTGGAATATGTGGTTTGTAACGTTATAGTGGTAACGCTATACTGATGCTGCAACGTTACAAACCACATGTTTTATGTTAAAAAAAAACACTAAAACTTCTTTCTCTATTTGTCGTCAGTTTCGGCCCAGAGTAATTTAATTAATGTTGAGCATAAAATGCCCCAACACCTCAAAACACAGTGAAAAGCAACCTTTTTAACGTCAACAGGATCATTCCGATGCCTTCCAGTCCTATGCAAATGATGGTTACCCCCCCTATTTTCGCATTGCATTCTGGGGAGGGGAAACTGTTGAATTGACACTTGTTTTTTTCGCCCAGCTGACTTACCAATGCACCAGCCCCAGACTGATTACAAGGCACGTGAGAACGACGATGAAAACACACCCGACGCCACTTACGCCTACATACCAGGTAAATTGTTTTGAGTTTCTTTCATTTCTTGTATCCTGTTTTTTATTGCTTTCTGATTGCAACTTTAATAAACCTAAGTAATTCGTTTAAGTAGTTACCGTAATTGGCCTGTGATACTATTTACGTACTTGGGTAGGTTTTTGTTAAGAAGGTCCTAAAAAACGTTTGTCAATATATTTACAAAGTTTCGTAATGTACCAAAATCTTCGTTTTTTAGCATTGAAGTTCATCTGCGTTGGTATACTTTATTATGACAAAAGGGATAAACGTTCAGGCCAACACTGAGTAATCTGGGACTTACCCAAATTTTCGGCCGACTCCTTCCGACATTATTTTTTTTTCCAGACGACCCACCCATGGACCAACCCCAGGCACGTGCGAACGACGATAAAAACACATCCGACGCTACGCACACCACCATATCAGGTAAAACGTCTTCAATTTTTTCATCCTTCTTTATAGCTTTATGATTGTAAATTATAACTAAAGCTGGTGGTTTAAGTATTTACTTTGATTGGTCTGTGATAGTGTTTGCCTACTTTTGTAGGCTTTTATTTGAACCTTATTAAACAGATACCTTATAAAATAGTTTATCAAAAGTACTCCACAGTTTCGTAATGGACCAAAATCATTAATTTTTGGGCACGGAAGTTGTAAACACGCAGGTCCGAAGAACTATTTCTTTACCTTCTAATGCTGAAGTCACGTTTCCAAACCGGGATCCGGCCGGGCAGTTTCGATTAACAAAAATCATGCCACAAATAAAGGCAAATATTTCCTATTATTAATCCTTTTTGTTATTCGTATTTTTTTGTTATTCGCAAATCGTTTATTTCGTATGTTAAAGGTCAAATATTGTTCACAAATGACTTTTTTTTTCGTTCAGACGACGCACCAATAAACCAACCCCAGACTGATCACCAGGCACGTGCGAACGACGATGGAAACACACCTGACACCACACACCCCTCCAAACCAGGTAAAAAATCTATAATTTGCATAAGTAATAATTTAATTTAATCGCTTTTCATAATAGGACTTCAGTACATATTGTATATATAATGTGTGCCACATGGAACATTCAAAGGCACCAATTATGCAAATTAGGGCCTGGTTTGAACAATCAAAACGATTATGCTATTTTTACGATAATGCTAAATTTAAGTGGTAAATTATGGGTATTTTTTAACAAAACAGCAAAACATACAAGATGACTTCCATGGAAGTTCCATGGAACTTATTTTCATTATGAGTATTTCATACATGTTACATGTATAACAGCACAACTACTGTGTTTAAACTAAACATCACTATGCGTGAATGTTGACGTAAACAATAAACTGAGTAAAGTATGTTTTTCCTACCAGATGGCGCGCATCCGGGTGGAGCGAGCGGCCGCCGTGGTGTCTGTAGCTTCCTCCGCGCCCATCGCAGCTGTCTGGCCGCCGGCATCGCCGTGCTACTGAGTCTAATCGCCGTGGGACTCGCCCCTCTGACGTTCAGCAACAAACAGGTATTGGTCTTGTACCATAAAGCTGTTTCTCTGAATCCCATTTTGTTTTTAGCAGGCTACAAGAAAAAAATTTTCAGTAGTTTTTTCTCAGTTTAATTCTTACGTATTCTGACGTGGGTAAATACCTTAATAGGAAATATCTCAACTGTCGACTACTGTGAAGCGCGACCAGGACGACATACGCCATCTGTCCGCCACTGTTGACGCCTTGAAGCGCGGCCAAGACGCCTTGAAGAGCTACCAAGACGACATGCGTCAACTGTCCGCCGCTGTAAACGCCTTAAAGCGCGAACAAGACGGCATACCCACTGCTGTTGACGACTTAAAACGCGATCTGGACAACGAGCGAAG